CAACCAGTCTTGGCCTCCTGTGAGTCTCTGGATTGCAGAGGAGCAGGATGAGGGGATGGGAGAGGGGCCAGCAGTCTTCCATGCATTTGAGCCTCACCAAACTATTTTCAGTCACTTTTCAATGGGCCTTTTGTGTTAGGTAGAGATTTCAGGGAAAGAGCTTCAAGTATGAGGCTTCTGGTAAAAGGCCAGATCCCCTTTACATAGCTGCTGGAGTAATCCTCAGGGGCTCCAGGTCTTTCCTTTGTACGTGAACCCACCTTCCACACAGTCTCTTCCACCTTCTATTTCGTGCTGCACTTTAACTTCTCCCTCTAAAAGCACATTGCTTTTGACACCAGTGGAGGCAAGTTCATCAGGTCTCCCTTAAAGCACTCACAGGATGGCATACAACATTCTCTGCTTTTTCAAACACCTTTTCAGCTCATCATGTCCTCATGAATTAGGTACAACAAATATCATTCCCACTTCACAAGTCAGAAAACCAGGGAACAATGAAGTTGAGTTTTAGAAAAATTTTTCATCTGATAAGTTTCTTATTGAAAATTTGCCCACTGTCACCAGATAATACTTTGAGCATTGGCTCAAAGTGCTTCCTAGTCATTCATGAGATGAGGAAAGGTTTGATCCAAAGGCTGAGCCTGTGGCTATCCGATCTTTTGTCTGGCCTGGAAAGGCTTCTGAAAAAAATAGATTGCTTTTAAAAGGAATTCCTTTTCACACTTCCCGGAAAAGGGGCTACATTTTATTCTTAGGGAAGCACAGGTTTAAAAAGTCTTAAATACTCAAGTACAAAAGGGTTTTTTTTTTTTTATTTTCAGAGTAAGGTTTCTATATAGAGCTGATGAAAGGAAAAATAATCCATTGCTTTTCATTTTTGAAATGAATTGCTTGACAAGCCAACACATGTCTTGTTTTGCTCCAGCAAAGTCAGGGGCCTTCCCAAATAAATTATCTACTGCATGTGAGATAAGATGACTTTCCCTTATTCGCCCTTTAAAAAATTTATTGCTGCAATTTTCACAATATACAATTCAAGACTTGAATGATCTGAAATGTATCGCTAAGAGAAATTATGACGAAAAGTTAGGGAGTGAACTTTTACATTTCACAAGAACCCCAAATGGAATAAAAGCCACATGTAAAATAAGCTTGCAAGAAGAGATAATCTGCAGTAGCATATGTTCAGTATTAGAAATTAGAAATCAATTGCAAAACACAGTGGGAGTATGTCATCCTGCAAAACGATAGCTCAGCATGCTCTGTGTTGAAATAAAATCCCTCTGCCATTGTACTTGGCATGGAACATGCATTTTACCCAATATGGAAGAAAGAGAAAGGCCAGCAAGGACCAGTATTGCATTTGGTACTCTATATAGATACAGCATGAATATTTATCTTCCTAAACAGACCTGGACTTCAGCATTTTTTTTTTTTTTGCATTTTTCAAGTGCATTTTATAGTCTGGAGTTGATCTTATCATATCTTAGGACTACAACATTGTGGTTTGTTGTTTCCAGGTAGAAGGATACTGAAAGGATGGATTTCCTGTAGCCAATTAAAAAATCCACTGTGCATTCATTTGGCATATATTTAATGAGTCCTGACTGTGTACTAGGTATCAATCTGAACACTGTGAGGGCTTCATATGACTAAAACATGGTCCCCATTTGGGAAGTTACTATGTTCCACTGCATGGGATTGATTTGCAAAGAAATAGTACAAAATGGAAAATACCATAAGAGAGGCATGGATAAAATGCTGCAGGAACATAGAGACAGGAGTAACTAACTTTGTTTAGAAACTTTCAGCAAAGCTTCGCAGAGGCAGTAAAAACTTAGGAGGCCTCTGGAGTGTAAGAGGATTACAAAAGCTAAGGAAGGAGGCAGAGAGAATGATTTAGGTGGGTGAATCCTGGTAGTGGATCCAGAACCCAAGAACAGGCATGTGCATGTTTATGAGCCCTTGTCCCCTGGAATCAGCGTGGGGAGGGTAGCAGAAGAAGGGCTAGAAAGTATAGTAATGATCAGTTTGTGAGGGGCCTGAATGCCTTCCCCAACTCTGTATTTACAGAGGCAGTCCTGCTCATCTTTTGGTTCCTGATTTGATACTTAACACCAAGGGTAATATTAAAATATTTAACAGGAAGCATAGCAGATTCAAATTAGTCAGAAGGTCAGGCTTCTCAGACTCTCTTCTGCATAGGACCTTTTGCTTGCTGGACGTGGTATGGATAGGCCAGGGATCCCAGGAAGAAGTTAGAGTATCAGGGAAAGGTGCTTAAGGGTGACAGACATGTACCAACCAGTTTGGAGGTATTTCACTATTTTAGCAGCCAGTGTAGGTGAGTGCACAGCCATCAAGCCAGTCACCAAAGATCCAGGGAACTGTGCTTTCATTTCTTGTCTCTTCTGCAATCCCTGGACAAAGATGACTTCATCCTCTAAAGATATCTTGAGCTAACCATGTCCTCTCCCTACTGCCTGAATGAACTCTCTAAAAAAGCAGAACTGATTAAAGCTTTTCTAGGAGATGAGGTTCAAGGCCCTTACTTGGACCTCTTGACCTTGGTGATCTGGCCTCTGCTGTCTTCAAAGCCTCACTGTCCAAAGGATCATCATTCCTTTGGACAATTACTCCYCACTGCCATGTGCACAATGCCCCAGTGTGTCCAGGTGATGGAGTGTGGCAGGTGTTCCTGCAGTGGGCCTCAGGTAAATGGCTTACCTGGAGCTGGTGGGAAGCCCCCTGCAGGCTAGCACAGAGCCTGGTACATGGTAGCTGCTTCTGTCACAGGTTGATAGATCTGCCTGACAGACCTTCTTAGAAATGAGATCAGGCTTTATGTTTGTTTAGTTGGTTAGGTAACTTTGAGTGAAGCCAAGGCATGAACAGTGACAGATACCTCAGATGATGATGGCAGTGAGTAATCAAGGGTAGCTGAATAAATGAGTGGCATATTTTATGTATGCTAAAGGTGCAGTTTGTTACTGAGATCCTTGCATCCACATTTTTAATTGTAATGCAATCCCAGCTGCTTATCCCAAATATGAACAGAATTCTGGTGCAACCTTTATAAGATATAAAGGAGTTGAATATAAATGAAGTCACTCAAGAGATGTTTAATGCACCAAGCACTGTGCTCTACACAGAGTTAACAAACTAGAAATGGGCTCTGCCTTCTTCAAGCTTGCAGTCTCTTGATAGAACCAGATAATAAGTAAGGAAACTTTTTTCCATCTCTCTATCCCACCAAATTAGTCCAAGCTATCCTCATGACTCACCTAGACCACAGGTAGTCTTCCTGCTTACCTGCACATCCTGACCCTCTCTCCATGACAACCAGAGGGATCTTTGAAAATATAAGTGAGTAGTGTGGCTCTTGAATGAACCCATTAGTGACTTCAAGTTAGGATTCAATGCCTAATTCCTTGTGGTTTTCAAGGTTAAGTTTRATCAGCCCTCTGCATGTGGCTCCAACCCTTAATGGTACCACTGTGCCTGACAGTGTCCCAGCAGCTCCAACCACCAGGGCAGACTTCATTTCCCTGAACACCTGAACTCCTTCCATTCTCAAGAATGTTGCTGTGCTGTTCTCTGATTCTCCCCATAGCTGCTCACTTCCCATACTTCAGATCTATGAAGTGGGCCCCACCACCCACACCACAGTTACTCTTTATGGCAGAGTGTTCCTAGCATTTAACAAAATTAGTAATTATCTTTAAATTTGTTGAGGAGAAAAATTGTCTGAAATTAAGACTTTCTTGTGCAATTTAGAACTGAGAGAAGAGGATTGGATCTTGAAGTTTACAATGTAGGTACCCTATCATCTGCCTGGAAAAGGGATTCCTAATTAAATTGCTAAGGTATGATTACCAAGTCACTTACCAGCAGCAAACACATTCATTCACTCTACCAATTTTGATCAGAATCAATGCCTCTGCAAAATAGGTTGTGCTCCATTGTGAAGCAAGCATTTAAGAAATTAGGATGTATTAACCAAAGTATAGGTGGATTTAGCTATACAGCCAGCTTGCCAATTCTGAAAATATTCAATTAGTTAGTTTATGCTTTGCTTTGTAGAAGTAATAAGGTAAAGAGCAAGTATGAATGGTAATAATAATAAAGCCCAAATGTTGGAAGAGAAGAAAATTGTAGAATGTTAAACCATTGAGTCCCAATTTTTCTGTTCTGTGAATATTTCTACAAAAGCAAGACAGGTACATTAAGATAGGTCAGAAATCATAATCTATAGTGTAGATATGTACACCCATATAATTATTTCAATTAGTGTATTGTAATATAATTATGTTCTTACCATATAATTACATATTTTTATCCATGTTTCATACCTGGTATGTGGGACAAAATGGGTGAAGGGAACAACTGTAGTCTTGGAGCAACCTATGGTTGAAAACCAAAGGCATAAGAAAGAAGCAGACCTCATGAATCCTTCAGATTCATGTACAGGGTAGACATTATGGCAGGAAAAGTGCGGATGAAAGTTGTGAGGAAAGACAGAAGCTAGTGGGGGACAAGGGTTGGGGAGGGAGAGAGAGAGGACCCAGATACCAAGAAGTTCTCCATCCTTAAAAGGTCTAATGGTGGAGGTGTTGAAGGGTTATACTGTTGACACTCTGCTGTGTRATTTTAAAAGTCGAGGGATGCAGGGCCATCTGATTTCATTAAACAGTCCCATTTGTGCCTAGAAAATGATGATTTCCTGCCCTGTGACTCCCAGTACTCCAAACCCCCACTCTCCTGTTCCACATCTCTTAGCGATCATTTCCTGAAGTCATCCTCCTGGTCATAGTTTGCTTTTTTATCAACCTCCCCCTACCCCACGTGCTGAGTGGGGAGKTTCATTTCTCCTGAGGTGTACCTAGTTGCATTACAGTCCAGGAACCAAGGAGCCAATCAACAGCCTCCTTGTAAATCCAAACCTCTAAAAGAAAAGTGACCTGCAGTCATTGTTCACTGATTTTGCTCTTTACCTGCAGGCTGTCATGAGTCCTGTGCACGCTGCTGGGGCCCCACAGAGAAGCACTGTGTGGCCTGCAAAGATCCCCTGCAAGTGCTGCGAGATGGCATCTGTGAGAACAGCTGTGGTGATGGTTTCTACAACAGGAAGGGGACCTGTGTTGGTAAGTGCCGGGCGGAGATGCCAAGCATCTTTTCCTTTTCCAGCATCCCTTGTATTCAAGTCATAGCACGGATAACCAATGTTTCTGTGGCTCATTGAGTACGTGAATGGTTGCTGACACTGACTTTGCTTTGGTAGTTTGAAACTGCTAAGTGGGATCTCCTTTCACTGCCCTGACAGTGATGACGTTTTCATTTCAGCCTCATTCAGCAGAGGAAGACATCGAGGCCCAGGCTGCCTGCTCATAAGCCACAGCTATAGGAGAGGAGCAGGGTTCCTACTCATGCCTTGCTTTCCCCCAAACCTAAATTCTGTCAATGCAAGACCACCCTCTGTATAGCCAAGGGCAGACCCACCTGTGGTGTTGGTGCCACTGACTTGAAGCTATAGCATCATTGTCATTCCACCTTTAACACCTGTAGCATAACAAGAGTTAACCCAGCATAGTGCTTCCTCATGCCATGTATAGGAACCCCTGAAAGGGAGGAAGTATGGGGGAAGGCATGGCTTTGGAAAGTTACTTCATATTTCTGCATTATCAATTTCTCACTTATAGAGTGGGGATAATAGTAGCATCTGTGGTAGACAAAAAGACCCCAAAGATCTCCATGTTCTAATCACCAGATTAGTGCTACCTTAGATGGCAAAAAGGACTTTGCAGGTATAATTAAGTTTAAAGATCTTGCGATGGGAATATTACTTTGGATTATGGGGGTGAGCAATATATAATTACAATGGTTCTATAAGAGGAAGGCAGCACAGATGAGAGGGAAAAAAAAGTCAGAATAGAACCAGAGGTCAAGCTTGAGAGATGCAAGGAAGGAGCCATGAACCTGCAGTGTGGCTTTAGAATCCACAAAGGGCAAGGGAATTGATTCTGCTCTGGAGCTTCCATAAGGTATTACATCTCTGTTGACTCTGGATTTTAGGACTTTCTAACCCTAGAACTCTAAGATAATATATTTGTGTTGTTTTAGTCAAAAAGTTTGTGGTAATTTGTTACAGCAGCAATTGGAAACTGATACGCACTCAGCTCAGAAGGCTGTTGAGAGGATTGAGTTAATGTATGCAAAGCACTTAGAATGTTTCTGGGCAGAGTGTTCTGTCAGTATTTGGTGTTTAATCTTCACAACTTCATGCAATAAACATTATCATTCTCATTTTCCTGGTGAGGTCATGGAAGGTAAGAAACTTGCCTCCAGTCATCGGACTTATAATGGGCAGAATGGAATTTAAACTTAGATTTTCTGGCTCTAGGTCATAAATGTCCTTGAACTGCTACTGCTAGCTGTCATGTGGCATTGCCTTATGCACCTCTGCTCATTTCCCCCCTTTTCCTTTTCATTCTTTTTTCTTCTTCCTTTCCTCCTCTTTCTTCCTTGTCTGCCCTGGCAGTCTAGGTGAATCAGCTGCCCCTATGGACGTTGCTAGGTCCACAGGGAGCATTCTGACAATAAATGAAAGGTTGGAGTTGCACTTACTGTGATGCCCATACTTATAGAAAGACCATGATGACTTTCTTTTCATAACTAAGTCCACTAAATCAATTAAAATGTGCAGCCCATAAAACTTGCTTGACTTATTGTCCTCATTTGTTCACTGAGCTGGGCAACAGCAAAAATGAGATGATCTTTGGGACTTGACAGATCCACTTGTCTTAGGGAAGAGAGAGAGCCCTTACAGCTGCTTGCTTAATGCTGTGGAGAGATCTATCAGCTTTGCTGGTGTGAAAAATCTCACTTGGTATGGATGAGTCACAGGTGCTTTCCTGTGGATTTGAGAGAGAAGAGGAAAGAAAGGCCAGGCTGCCATTAGCTTGAGCAAGCTAATCTTTTTCTGCCACCATCACTTTCCTGCTCAATTAAGCCAGATGTATTCTCTAAAGGTCGACAGATGTCAAATTTGCAGCCAATCTAAGGGCCTAAAGGCATTTACCCTTTAAGTCCCCAAGGAGGCTGGTTACTGTCACTAACAGAGGAGCAGGTGACACTGACCTGCCATTATCAGGACTGAGAAAGCAACTCTTGCTGGTGAAGTGTTGTATTCTAGAGAAGAAATAGTTAGTGTGAACCTTGGGGCAGTGAGGGATGGGAATCTGCTTGGGTTAAGAGGTTGAGTGAAGAAAGCCAGGGCTCCTTGTAGCCTGGAAGAATTTAAAAAGACTAATGAACAGTGGCTTAGAGAAAGAGAGTACACATCTGAAATGCTATCTGTATATATTTTGGAAAGTGTCAGAAAACTTGTAGACAGGAGGACAGAACTGATATTAATYAGGCAACTCATCATTCTCAACAAGTAATTACTGGACACATACCATGAGCTTAGCACCTTGCAAGAGTTTGTGATGCCATTGGTATTGACCCGTGCACCTGTTAATAGAGAAAACTGGAGCTTRCTTACACTCCGCAGAAATTGTTAGACTTCTCTAAGTTGATATCCAATGACCTCAGAAATGTTCCCCATAAATGTTTTCTGAAACAACACTAAGGGTGAATATGATCAAAGTATGTTATTTGCATGTATGAATAAGCCACAAAGAAACCCATTATTCTATAAAACTAAAATACACTAATAAAAAAAAATAGAAAACAAAACAATGGTGAACCAAGTTGCTGATTGCTATCAGAATGTTAATTAAGACATTGGATGCTGATAATGGTGACTTATTTCCAATTCAGATTAGCGATATTCAAGATAAAGACTGGCTGGGTCTGGTTTAATCATTTATAGCCAACCAGCCCATATCAGCTGAAATCCCAAAGTTGAATGCTGAGAAAAATCCAGCATAGCCTGTTAGAAAGGGCAATGTGCCCTGGCCGGAAGAACTTGCAGTACCCAGGTTCCTCTATGATACCTGTCTTGGATTTTAGAAATAATATTAGACATAAAGGGTGGGATAATACAAAGGATAAACCTCCTCATTCTTTCAAGTCCTTGTGCTTTTTTTTTTTTTTTTTTTTGTACCAGGGATTGAACTCAGGGGCACTCGACCACTGAGCCACATCCCCAGCTCTATTTTGTATTTTATTTAGAGACAGG